ATGCTTGTGTTATGCATAATGTAGCATTAGACTTAACAAAAGACTTTGTGAGCCTATTCTAAATATATCAATCCTCTAACAGATATAACATGAGGGGAAAAAACAACTTTCAAAGGGTAATAAACTTGGATACTTAAGTTTGCATTTAGTGTGACCTGGCCACTTTTGTGGATCTGTAGAGGTGGAGGTCCACAAATTTGGTACTCTTTAAAAAAAAAAAAAAAAAGTTGCTACTAAAACTTGTCTGATTTTGAATCTCAAGAATCTTTCAAAACTTACTGGCTCCCTATCAGAAGGACAGCAAAATAAGGTAATAATAAAAAGGAAGAAGAAGGAGAGACTGGATAAGTGTTTTTACATGTCTTTATTTTTCCAATACATTTATATTCTGTGTTATAGGCCATCACATTGGGATTTAACAGCTACAGTTTGTTCTGCCCTTTAAAATGTTTTACATACACCATCGATGATTTAATGCACTTACAGGTGTTATAATAACAAAGTTTGATATATCCGAAATGAAGTATGTATTAATTAGTCTTCAGTAGGCAACAGGATGTCTATTCATTTCATAGACCAGCGAATTCAATGACACATGACAAATAAAAGGCATTGGTATTTAAATACCATTGAAAGGAGAGAATGTGCTTTTCTCTGCAAAAAAAATGCTCTCAGCAATGCTCACATGTAAACATCTGAAGAGATGTGCGCTTAAAGCATCGGATAATGATTTTAAAGAGAGATTTATGCAGGCAACAGATTGGCAAAGATTTCAGAAGTAAGACTCATCAATATTAACAAAGTGCTTCACTTTATAAAAGAATAGGTATATAAAACTGTCGTCAGAGACAAAAACCAGCCCACAACTTTCTTTCCTTTCATCACCGACCTGTAAACACGGCAGTTATGTAAACACGTGTCTTACCGTTCAGAAAAAGTTCAAAGTACGGCTTAAGCACAGTTACTTTCTCACAAAGTAACTGCATACAAAAGGTACTACAAGTAATTAATTTTGAAAAGAACAATCTGTACACATTTTAACAACCAACAATATATATATATGTTTTTGTAAATTGCACTCTTAAAAATAGAGCACTTTGCTGCAATTAGACACCCTTGATGAGTAGAAGACAATAAAATGTCATTCACTGACAAAAATCAAAGCATAAAATCTAACACGCCGTATTAAAACTGTATAAGTCAGTCTGTCTGCTAACGTTTATGCAAAGCTAAGGAGCTCTAACGTTAATGTACATCTATTTATTCTTCTGCTTTATAAACAGTCAGTGTTGAACTTGAGCGCGAGGAGCTATCGAACGAACAAGAACAGATACTGACTGTAGAGATGCATCGAGACCTGTTCGACAACACCGAGCAACTCCCGAGTGGCAGTTTAAACAAATGCAGTCACATTTGCATAGTAAATCAGCACAGTCCAACACTGCAGACAGTCACTTCTCCAAATCTGCACACAGACAAGAGCGTATTTAGTCTGTTACTGGTCCGGGTTTTTACACATCACGACCACAATGATTCACCAAACTGACTGACGGCAGTCGCTCACATTCCCACGTAACCTGCACATTTTCTGCTAGAAATGCTTCTGAGGTCTATACATATATATATTTGGGACACTGCATCAGTGCTTCAAAAAAAAAACTGGAATGGAAAAAAAGTAAAAAAATAAATAAAAAGAAACTAAATGAAAAAAAAAGTTTAATCTTTTTTGTTGTTTAAGGACATTTTAAACTGTTGAACAGAAACACCCAATTAGTGTTTAACAGCAATGGAGACAAATTAAGTGGCGAGCATGGCTTTTTTTTTTTAAGCATTAAATTCTTGCCTTTGCTAGAGCGCAATAGTTTTTACACCGAGCATGAAGGACCTGCATGTAATAAAGTGACAACATAAGACCCAAAATGAGCTGAACACGACTGTATAAACAAGCACGCACAAAAGCCGTGAGCTCCGGTTTACTACAAAGAAAGAATGAGTTTTGTGTGCACCTCAGGCGTAATTCAGACTATTCATTCACATGTTTTTATAGAGAAAATGGGGCCTGATGAAGTGGAAATGACTTACTAACATTAAACACCTACTACTATTATTAATAACTAAGGCAGTGTGTAATGTACAAACAGATGAGCTTTCTTGTTTCTAGAACTCGGCCAGGATTTTTCTTCCTCTGAACTTTCACCTTTCTTCTGATGCAGATTTTCTTGCAGCTTTTGATTCCACAAATGGGTCCATCACATAATCCTGCTCTTCCCCTGCCATCTCTGATCAGTTCCTCAGTTTCACATTTGGTACAACTACCCTTTTTTAAATGGCCAAATTAAATAACCTGAGGTGCAAACAGTGGTTTCATTAACAAAACCCCCAAAAAACCCCAAAACAAAAAAAAGAGTGGTTACATCCATTCATGTCTAAAGATGCAGTGGAAAGACTTGTTTATGTATTTACAGTTTCAAACACTGATGTTATTAAGAGAGGACAATCTGACTGAAAGGATGTGTGTACACATCTGTCTTTATGCATGTGGCTGGGCAAAAAGTGAGTAAAACTAAATCAAACGTCCATTTTTAAAATGTAGGTTTTTATCATAAACTGTACAGCTGTTATTCACATTCAGATACTCTTATCGCTTCACAGAATCAAGTTATTTAAATATATGAGCATTTTCGCAGAACAAATAAGAGTGAATACACCTTTGAGCGACTTGCATCAGAGAATTAAATACTAGGATAACCTGATTTGTAAACTTTACAACACGCAGGGTGACGTAAAAACACCTCCATCACTCCAGATTTCATGTCTTTTCTTCAGCTGGGCCCCGACAGAGGACTCATGTGAGTCTTGTTGCTCTCCATCTTCACAGCCGGCAGGTTAAAACCTGAGTCTGATACACAGCTTTTTTGTTGTTGTTGTTGTTTTTGTATTTTTTCCCAGGGGCATCACGCAGCTTTGCTTTACTCCAATGACAGCAATGTCAGTTCAGCTCATTTCCCACGTATGCACTAATCCACCCCGTCGAAGCCTTGTGCATTCTCTATAGCGATGTTAAGCTTCTCCCTCAGTTCCTCAAAGGACTCGTACGGAGGAAGGTCCAGCCGATTAAAGCTTTAAGAAGCAAAAGAACAGACAAGAGTTAAAATTTAAGCAGTGGCAAAAAGGGAACACGCAGGAGCGTAAACACTGTGATGTGCCAGTGAAACTAAGAATGACAGTAATGCGCCACTAGTGGGCTTCCACAAGTCTGCACTATGAGATACAGTAGGCAGTTTGAAAGCAGCACAAAACATGGATGAAGTTTCTGGTCTGGGAAGTGAAGCCAGTGCTTAAATCTGCATTCTTTCTAAGACTCGTCTGACTGCATGAAGATTTCTGGTTGTGCAGAAGTTTATGAAAAAACTGCCTTCGGCTCTCCTGCTCTGTGACTTCTAGCACTTTCCTGATGACTTTGCAGCCTTAATCAATAGTTTCTGGTCATGCTGAATAGAACATGAAGTTATAAAATGTGGTCATTATTAGAGTAGTAAAGGACAGTTATCCAGGGTACACCGCTCTTCAGAAACCCAGGTACAATCTCACTGCTCACACATCTCCGCAGAGTCATCTACATGTTGTAGCCCTGTAGTGTCACCAGGAGGCGTTGTTCCAAATGTGTGGACAAACAGGTCTATGGGCTACACCTTAGAGTGTCATGTCTGACTTCAACACAAGCTTGCTTATAACAGCACCTCACTAAACAGCCACATTACAGTGGGTACATAGATGATTGATACCAGTCTCTTTTCAACAAGCTGCTCAATTTCAACACAAAACATGGGCAAAGCAAAGTGATGCTAATGCTTTAAACTGGCACTCTTTCTAAAGGCCAGTAGGGCGATGAGACTCTGGTTGCAAAGAGAAGCCAGAAAATAAATCTATGAGAAAGGATTTATTTATTATTATTATTTATAAATAAATAAATGGATAAAATGCCATTTTCTATAAATGTTCTGTAAGGCACAGTGTTTATTGAAAACACATCAGATCTCAGTGGGGGGGAAAACCCCCCCCAAATAATGTTGATATCTATACTTATATGGACTAGGTAATGTGTTAGGAACACCAACTATTAGAATATGTGCTGTTACAACTCCGGGCCTTCGTGCAGGATTTGTGTTGAATGAGTTTCCTGGGGAGAGGCTCATGGGAAAATCTGAGTAAATCCAGTCTTTTTGGGTTTGTGGATCCCTGCTGTTTGTGTGATTTTCCATGTGTCTTTCCAATTTTACAGGGGAGATTGATGGGCCGGTGATTGGTGAAGGTGTTTTTCTGGAGTATGATTAATTGTTTTAGGGATTCCCACCTATCACGTAATTCTTGTAAGGTAACAGTAAAAAATATAACAAAGCTGAAATGGCTAAACTCAACTGTGCTAATACTACAAGCTTCACTGCTAGATCCAACGCAAGAAGAGCAGAGGAAGAAACAAATGTGCTTTTATCCTTTTTAAAAGTTGGCAAAAACCTTCAATAAAATCTGAAATGATCCTTTGTTAAAAACAACTGTGTCCAATATAAAAGGGAGAAAAAAAACAGAAGAAGAAGAAGGAAATAAAAAAAAAAGAGCAAAGCACAGTGAAATGCTTACCATGTGTGGGCCCTGGGAAGTTTTTCACGTGTTCCCCAAAGCTCGATGGTGAAGAGCTGCGGTCCATTAGAGCCTGGTAAATAAAACCATTAAAAATCAGATGACGACAACAAACATGAGTTCAAGTGGAATTAATTTGCAAGAAACAAAGAAATCAACCCAAGGGCAAATAGTTAAAAAAAAACCCGTTCATTTAGAGAGGGAATAATTCTAATCTCACCATAGAGTTCAGCAAAGCCATTCATCGGGACCCTGGATGTTCCCGTCACAAACTGTAAGAGCCGGATTCGCTTTTCTGCATCCATCAGCAGCACCGCCTGTAATAAAACAAAACAAAAAGCATGAAAAAAATACATATCAATGAAGCTTTTCTGCACAGACGTCCCTGCCCCAGCTGCAGATTATTAGCCACAGGTATGGAAACTTGTCTCACCTTCCAAAACCACAGGATAACCATGTGGTTGGAGCAGTAGCCGTTCTTATACTTTGTGTTCGCTCTCCAGTCGTTCACGTCCACATCTCCAAGACCACACATGAGCAGCTGTGGAGGAAAACAAAGCAGATACACTGAACATTTTCCATCCCTGAGAAACAGTTTTGGGGTTTTTTTGCTAGTTGGATCAGCTAAAAACTCACCTCGAGCTCATTCTCATCAAAGATCTTGATCAGATCTTGCGGTACCAACTCAAAGAAGCCCTAAAACACAAAGTATACCAGACTTTTATTCCTTTGTGTGTCTTTAATACCCGTACCGTGTTTAGCAAGTTTAAAAAAACAAAACCACTGTTTACCTCCTTGAAGGCAGTCATCTGCTTCTGTATTCTGTTCACAAACCTCCACTGAATCACCAGGCTGTTAATCACAAAACGGCATGTCAGCATCAAACTGCATTTACACACACACACTGAGAAAAACAAAACAAAGTAAAAGCATTTTTCTTACTGGATGTATTCATCCTTGTTTTCATTGGTGACGACAATCTCTGAGCCATCGGGTTTCAGGTCATGCTGGTGAGTCTGAACAGGTGGTGGTGTAAGAAATGAAGCATCAGTCAGAGAGACACAAAGCCGCGTCACAAATTAAATGTTGGGACAAAAAACAAGGACGTTCAGCAGACCTGTCCAAACAGCTCTTCATCAATAGTGAACCTCATGTCCAAGTCCGTTGGGTCGTTCTCCAAAATCCACTTCAGGGAGTTGAAATATTCACCGTCCTGAAAAGAAAAGAAGACATTTAATTGAAAATGATCTACATGACATCCAAGATCCCGAATCACACCAATGCAATAATTACTACAGTCATACTCACAACAGACTCCATGTCCTGGAGGGTGATTGGCTTCCCCAGCATCATCTTGTAGAAGGGCCGAATGAAGAAAGCTGTGAAGTAAACAAATACGCAAACACTTACAAAGATATTTACTGGTGACGTTTTTAAAAAGGTGCAACAAGAGCAGCTCCCATCAAACCAAACATGCCTCCCTCTTCCATTTACATTTCCAAACACACGTGCTAACTATAGTCAGCTGATTGTAAGTGTGTTTTCCTGCTCCTCTTCCTCTTGTTACTTTTACTCTCTCTGTTACGCATACTGTTAGTGAGAGTTAATGTGGGTGAAACAGAGCACAGGAGAGCAGTGAGGACAGACTCTACCACCAAGCTGAAATAAAAATCAAGTATGTATGTTACAAAGAGCTTTTTTCTTTTATTCTTTGCTTTTTGGCAAAGCTGACCACTCTGGAGTGCACTGTGTCATCTGTTTCGAGTGTCCCCTCTGTTGGCTTTCTCAAATTATAAAAACCTTGTGGCACCAGTGTGACCTCTCAACCTGAAGATGAACCTACGGTAAAAAATCCTGGTCAAAATCCTAGGTGATTTTCAGAAAAGTTGAGACGTGACCCTGAAAATCTGAGAAACCTCGACATTGTGGTCACCGAGATTTGAACTCGTCTGAGATTTTAGTAGATGTCCCTATCTGACGAATTTGAAAATCCCATCTCAAGTTATCTTGAGAACAAGACGACATGGGATTTTCAAGGCCACGGGTGTCCACATCGTCACCATACTAGACAGGTGGTTGGCAATACCCCATCATCCTTTTACAGCTGGAGGTAAAAACAACTTGAGAAAGCCAGCAGCCTCAAATGGAGGGACTCCTACCCAGAACCATGCACAAACACCCAGAAAAGTTACCAAAATGCAAACAATAAAGCGCAGACAACAACACACAAAGAAAGACAGTGAGGTAATTTTTTCACTTTCTTCAGATAAAAATACTTCCTGCTGCTACATGAAGAGCTCTTAAAATATCTGACCATTTTCAGCAGCCATGTGACACTCACCATCGAGGAGTTTGCCGTGAAACACAGCCATGCCTGCCACGCGACCGATGAACTTGAAGTAGGTCAGGTGGTCCTCGTTGCATAAACCTGAGTTGGGGTTAATCTGCAGTGTGTAGTTGTCCCTAAAACATAAGGCAGATCAGGAAAGTGTCTTTAGTAAATGCAGTAGTACTTGCATAGAATTTTCTACTCAATTTGAACACTCGGAGCTTTCTGTCTACAAGTGTCATTCATTCATACAATAACATTTTTTAACCTGATGTTCACACTCTCACAACTTTAGGTTCAGTATCTTGCCAAAGGTCGTGGAAAACGGCATTGAACCACCAATCTTCCCACAGGTCAACAAGCCACAGCACCAAATGTTAGTAGGAACAATTACTACTTTTGTGGATCCTAGCCCAGATAGCCGGACTGAACATTCTCACATGGTTTGTAGTGACACATTTTGGTTCACCTGGATTTTTCTGCGTGAAAAGAAGCCAAATCACAGGGAAAAGCTTGTGCAAAATCATCAGCTGATTCAAGCCAGGATAAATGATCTACAGCTGTGAAAATGCCCTTAGAGAGCTGGTCCAGGCCTTTGCTGTAACATATACCACAGTTATTTGATGTGCTTCGTATCACCAGGGTTGGAGATTTTGATTGAAACTTTTTTCAGCCCACATTTTCACAGCCAAAGAGAGTTTCGATTGCCTTTTGTGTGTAAATGTCTGCAGCACCTCTCCCTCATTCCTCTGTGTGTGTGTGTCAGCTCTATTTTTTTTTCTCCCTGTGTTTCTCTGTTGTTCCCTGGTATGAACGTGCTCTGTGTCATTTTGTGTATCTGGGAGTGGCTGAAGACTCCCATGCCTGTGGCTGCTTTTTGCATAAACCCCCAGGTTTACGCATTGCTCAAAATTCGTAGTACATCTCCCCACCGCTTTAAAATTAGCCTCTCCTTTTCCCTTGAATGCATCAGCCCCCCCTTTTTACACTTATCCCACTAGCTTCCTGTCAGCCTCTTATCTGTCATACTCCCCCTGACTCACTCATGCTGCTACAGGACTCAACCAGTTCCTATTTACAGTGAAAATGAAGGTTAATAAAGCATAATGACCTGTAAATATGCCCCCTTAAACAAAAATACATCATCCCAAACATCGTTACCTCACAGAGACACATTGAAATTAGCAGTGATTTAATATATCGATCTTGGGAACTGTACAGAAGTCCTGGATTTGAAGTAAATACAAGCACTGACATCTTTTTGTCCACATTTTAGCTGTCAGTGTAGAGGATGCACATCACTCGTGCAACATATAATTGCTTAAAAATTTCCAAAAGTGGGAAAACTACAAGTAACAACAACTGAATACAAAAATAAAGACTCACGTGGCGGAATACTCGAATAGCCCGTAGTACGGGTTGAACATCTCTTTGGACATGAGGAAGAACCACTCCCTGGCCACGCCACCGTAGTCCAGTCCTTTTTCTCCATCAAACTCCACCCACAGTCGTGCCTTCAACAGGTCTGGCCTCTTGACCGAGAGGATGCGTCGGTATGAGTCCTCCAGCACTGCATTTCGTTTCAGCTTCATCTCAAAGCGGTTTGGGATGTCCGCCTACATTTAAAAAACAAACAAAACAAAAGCACAGTGGTGAGTTTTCGGTTACCTTTAAGAAGTTATGTTGAAAATCAGTGTGGCGGAGGTGGTATCCCTGGGTCAGCTGCAGGGGAAAAGTGGTCAAGGGGGCAATGCCAAGGAGGCTGGAGAGATAGGTGGTGGGGATCTGTCTAATGAGGCTTCTGCCTTTTATAAACAGTAAAGCTGGAGAGCAGAGGGAAGTGTGTGTGCTGACAACCAACTGGAAAGTCGAGGAGCCGGGTGCCGAAACATACATGTGTGTCACTTCAATAAACACTTCTAAGTATAAAATATCACAGTGTGTCAGGTCGATCTCTACAATCAGTAAGAGCTTTTGAGGATGCTCACCGGTTTCTTCAGCTTCTTCTTGAAGTAGTCATACTTCTGTTTGTAGTCTCTAGAGTAAGGCACTGCCTGTAATCACCAAAGGATGGAGGTCAGCAACAGCAACAGCAACAGCAACAGCAACAACAACTTTCAAAGTCATACTCACTGGTCCAGTTATAGCAGCGTTCTGCAATCTGGGATCTTCCCATTGTGTGTTCTTTGTGTCTATGAAATAAAATATATCAAAAAGCATATATTAACAAGAAAACAGATTAATGTACTAATCAAAGATGTTTTCGACTTAAACACATCATACGCACTGTGATCTATGTAGAAGACCCTGCCATCACTGTGGACCCTCTCCTCCCAGCCAGGCTAGAAATGAAGAAAATATCAAATCTATATTAATCAGGCAGATTAAATATCACATCAGCAAACCAATCAGGGCACCACATACAGTGTTCAGCCACAACAGTAAAACCACCATTAGTCTCAAAAAGGAAATGCAGTGATGGATAGTTTGAAGCACATAAACAGATTAACGGGACAATTATCTCTAAATTATATCAAGGAAACGGAAACTCAATGATACCAATTACATTCAAACAAAACAGGGAAACAAAATAAACATAGAAACAGCTGAGGAGACATCAACTAGCTCAAGGAAATGACTAAACATCTGATTTTTGTTACACCTTATGTTAAAAGCAAGCAATCCTGGAGACAGTGTGGTCATAACAACTCCCACATATTTTGGAAATTAAGTAAAATTCAAGTATTTCAGGAGAATATAGGTGTAGCTCTAAGATGCCAGGTTATGAAATTTCAGTAGATGTCATGGTACTGTACCTTGGAGCAATTAAAGAGGGTGTTGTTGTTGTTAAAAAGTCAAAATTTTTTTGCAAAAATATTTCTTACCTAAAACTATAACAAAGACCTGGGATAAACTTGACCCACCAGGTCTTAAACAATGGGTGGAGTAACATCTTTATAAAGAAGACGACGATTTTCCCGCTAAAGGCCTAAAGGAGATGCCTTTTTACAAAAGTGGAAGAAAAGAATCACCTTTATGTCAACTGAGATGGTTAAGGACAGTTGGGACAATATGTTCTGAGAATGTAGCGATGCAGTGTCCCACCTGTGCTTTTTGCTAAAACTTGAAGAGAAAAAAAACCTTAAACACTGGCAGGTGGACAGGTGGAGTAAATAACACTGATAATCTTGTTAAATTTGGGAAATGCCAAGGAGTGGCAGCAAGCAAACGGGCAGCCAATGAGCTGGACACAAAATGTTTTCATAGACGGGTAACTGACGGATGCTGACAACAGTGGTCTAAGAGGATAAATGGTGAAGGGTCAAGTGTGCACAAAGTTAACTGCTGTGCATAAGGGGAGGATCCATGCGATCTGATCCTACAGAAGAGCGAATGTAGTAGAAATTGATGAAAACCTCAATTTGGGCTGCGAGAGAAAGAAAGTGCGTCACAGCTTACTGTGTTGTCCACTGATATAAAAAGCCTACAGTGGGATGAAGATGAGCCACGGAACAATGAAAGAAGATGGGCCGTTTGATGAATCACTTATTTTCTCTTGCACCTTTGTATTAACTGGGAGAGGTATGTGAAGCACGCAGCTGATGGATGCAGATTGGCGCTCTGGGTAGTTAAAAAGAAATCTGCTCTTTCATCGTTTCAGAAAACAAAACATTTATTTTAAAAATGAAATGAGAGTCTGATTTTATGCACTGCATGGCTAATGTAACACATTTTGTCACATGCTTTAAGTGATTAACACATGTACATTTCTATGGAAGTATTGTGAAATGGTCATGTGTTTAAATTCTTTTACCTTAGATATTAAAATGTCTTTAGGGATTATTTTTCTCATTTAATTTTTTTAAATTAAATTTTACTTGTATTAAACATCCCATTCTGAATGTATAATTTTTTCCACAACATACTTTTTCCTATAAATAGCCATATGTTGAGAAAAAATTCAATAAGAATTTCTTTAGACCACACAGCCCACTGTGTATGTGGCCTGCAGTGGCCTGTTTAAGCAGGAAAACTGCAACTGTCACATGACAATTTCAAAATATGACCTCTTCATTCAATATTTCCAGAACAAAATGTTGACTTGACCTCAAATCTGATAAGGAAACTATGGGATATGCTGAGAGACTCAGCAACCTTGAAAAACACTGGACTTTAAAAGTTTCCTTTGCCAATGTCTCAGTCCCCTATTTTGAAGATTTAAAGATGCGTTGGTGGCGCAAGTGGACTGGACTTCACTACGCATGGTGGTCTTAATGTTTTGGCTAGCAGGCTTTTTCCCCTGATAGGTAATCCTCAAAAGTTGATGCCTGTGTTGCATCTTGTTACTGAACTTACCGGCAGAGGGCCAAGATCGGAAGGATCAAGCGAGGATCTCCTCCTCATTTGTACAGGAATCCTTATCCTGGGATCTTCCTGTTCAGAGAAAAACAAGCAGGGTGTGTTTCAGTCAGAGAGGAAATCCTCACACAAGAGATGGTGGTGAGTTACAGCTTGGAAATTCACTTTCTTTGTGGCACAGATTAGAAAAAAAGTCAACTAAATAACTGAAACCCAGTCTAGTTTTTCTGAATTGGACACACAGGTGCATTCAAAGCCTTTGGCTGCAATCTTCTCACCCAGGTAGTTGTCTTGGTAGTGTGGTCGATGAAAAACGGCCTTCCATTGGGTGCACTGCGAACTTCCCAACCGAGCGGCAGGAAGCCAGATTCTCGCGTGGCCTCGGGGCTTGGAGTGTGCTGAGGAGACTCCTCTGTTGCTGCTGATGGTTGGGGTGGTGTAGGGCTTTGTGATAAGCCTGCACTACTCTGTGCCGCTGCTGCTGCTGCTGCTGCTGCTGACGGTGCTGATGGTGCTGGTGCTGCCTCTGAAGTTCTCTGTACAAATAAAAAGACTCCAGTGAGATTCTAAATCGAGAACAGACACACTGAAGGGGAAAATTGACAGAACAGTGCTATTTTAGAGCTTTAATCTAATAAAAAAAAAACAACCCAGGGTTTAACAAAGGTTTCTATGCAGAATGTGAATAAAAAGATATGAATGCTGAAGTACCTGCACGAGAGGTCGTGTCCATGTAGTGGTTCGGTTGTTGTGGTTGATAAAGTAGCGTCTTCCTTTACTATCTCGCTTTTCCTCCCAGCCTGGAGGTAACCCAGTTGAGGTTGGAAGCAGCTGTCAAATTAAAAATAAGTAAATACATTCTCAAGACGATAATTCAAGGACAATAATTTGGCATATGATATAATTTCCACCATAATCATACAGACAGTCATTATAAGGCACTCTATGCAAATGGATTACTATTAATGTATCCTGTCCAGTTTGTTGGCCAGGTTCCGTTGTGGTCTGACTACTTCGTGTGGAGCCTTATTACTCCAAGCTCAGAGGCTGAAGAGCCTATGACCACCAACTGCAGTCCAAGATGCCACATTGATGAGGCCCATCACAGGATGAGAGACTCACTGGCTGAATAACAGGACTGTTGTGACAGCTACCTCACACAGAGGTCAGGGACTAGTAGTGCTGGGTCAGAAACCCTCTTGTGATTGATTTGGTTGCTAGCAGATTACTGGAGTAGTCCAAAATTTGTATGGAAGATGCCAAACATATGCAAACACTCACCAACTGCTCACTAGTAATGAAACTAGAAAGTCTGACACAAACAGGAAAAAGATAACTCAATAAACATATTTACTAAATCAATCATGACTGGCAGGGATTGCTGACTGCTCTCTAGGCCTGTGTGACTCAGGCTTGTGACACTAAGGGAAGATAAGATGGGCTGATTACAAAGGACTGAACTTTCAAAATAAAATATAGAAACTCGAATTCTAAACTTTCTAATGCACATGAACAAATCAAAAGCATGACTGGTAATAATTTCTATAAAAGACAGCACGGTGGACTAAAAACAACAACACCTGGACCAACAGCAACAGACACAAATCAGCAATCAGAGCTTTCAGCAAAAGAGGGAAAACAAGATGCAGCGATTCATGAGAAGGCATTTCAGATTTGATCTGGAGTGACAAGTTTTTTGTATGCACAAAAATAGTATAAGTGGTCAAATGACTAACCTGTGGGAATAATCGTGATACAGATTATTAATTGTGAATCTAGCAAACAGACAAACTCTAGCAAATGCAATATTCCACATAGAAATCTATAACGCAGTTAGCAATGCTGTATTCCTTAAATGTCCCTCCACAGGAACTGTGACAGTCTAAGATGATTGAAAAGTGAACTCATAAAGACTGAAGCATTCAGATGTAAGAACATTTTCAACAGAGAGCAAAACACTCACCACAGGATTAGCAGGATGTTCCTCTCCTGTTGAGGTCTGGGCACTTCCTCTGCGACTGGAATGCCTTGAATTACTGCTGTGATCCTGCAGGAGAGCGGAAGGATGACTCTGATGACTACTTGGCCATTAATGTGCATAAATTTTCCACCACTCTCCCACTCTCAGCTCACATTTATATGATTACGAGCCTACTCCCCCCCTCTGCTTTCAGTAAGTCAAACCTCAAGCGACACAGAACATAACTCACGATCTGGGAGGGGCGCTGCTCGCCAGCTGCGGCAGCGATGTTAACGATCCTCATTTCATCGCACACTGAGTGGAACTCCACTGGGGTGCGGGGTGAAGGTGATCTGAGCTGGTTACTACTGTGGTACTGGGTGGAATCATCCTCTGTAATGATCTCCCAGCTCTACATGATGACAGAGAGGAGACTCCAATGAAGCAACAGCAGTGCAGGGCTGTCAGAGGTAGTATGACAAAGATCTGAACTTCTTTGTTTAAATATACAGCGGATTGAGAAGACGAGCCCGACGCATGACGTCTGCTTTGCTTAGGCTGTGTTAAAACTGATAAACCTTAAAGCAGGTTTTAAAAACATCCCTGTGCAGTTAACCTTTTTTTTTTTTTACAAGCCTGTAAGCCTGCACATGATAGAATTAACTTAATATATACATAAAAATCAAATGAATCGGGCTCTATAATCTTTTTTAAGAGCTACTTAATCAGTACTTCCTGTCTTTGTCCTTTTCTCCACCGACTCCCTTTGCTCCACCCCCATCAGTTTCACCTGTGTTCAATCACACCTGTGTATTTACAGTCTTCTCTTGTTTTTCCTGGTACCCACATCCTGCATCCTTCTCAGGTGCCTCATGGTTCTTTCCAGATGCCCTGTGTTTTACTCTTGTTGAACCTTCTACTGATATTGTTTTGGATTAGCCCTGCTCACGTGAGCAATGCCCTTTGTTGCCATTTTCCTCCATAGGTCAAAGTTGAGCTTAATTGTACCATTGCATGTCTTTGCAACACTGCAACAGTTTGTATCACTATTAAAAAGGATTAATTAAGATCATGTCCTGCACTAATTTTGAAAATGCACAGTGTCCATCTGAGTTCAATCTGAGCATCAGAATGGGGAGGAAAGGTGAATTCACTGACTATGAATGCAGCATGCTTGTTGGGGCTAGACGGGCTGGTCTTAATATTTGAGAAACTGCTGATGTACTAGGATTTTAAGAGAAGACCATCTCTGAATGCAAAACAACTGCTCCAAACCTCAAAGCAGATGGGCGACAGCAGCCGTAAACCCCACCGGATGCCATTCCTGTCAACTAAGAACAGGAAACTGAGGCTACAGTTCACACAGGCTCACCAGATTGGACAATAGAAAATTGGGAAAATGTTGCTTGCTCCAGAGACTCTTGATTTCTGCTGCGACATTCACATCACAGGGTCACAATTTGGCATCAACATGAAAGCATGAATCCATTCTGCCTCATATAATACTGGAGGTGGTGTGGGTGATGCTTTCTTACAAACCTTTGGGCCCCTTGGGAACTAAATGAGCACCATTTAAACCCCACAGTTTCCCTAACTATTGCTGCTCACCATGTCCATTCCTTTATGACCACGGTGTATCCATCCTCCAAAAACTCAAATCCTCTCAGTAAGGGTTTCTTGAACCTGACAGAAAGTTCACTGTCATAACATGGCCTTCAGCACATCGCATCTCAATCCAATTGAGCATCTTTGGGATGTGGTGGAACGAGAGATTCACATCATAGATGCACAGCAACTGTGTGATGCTATCATGTCGACATGGACTAAAATCTCAGAGGAATCCTTCCAGCACCTTGTTAAATCTTTACAATAAAGAAATTAAGGCAGGTCTGAAGGCAAAAGGAGCCTAAGATTACATTTATGTACTAAATATATTTCCAAGCAGAACATCACTGAGAAGGCAGCATCAGCAATATTTCTGATTATTCCTAACAGACTGCTATAGACTATATCCTGAGGCAAGCAGCAGACTCCTTTGCTACTGTGTTAACCAGCTAGATGCTAACCACGTTTATGTTGGATGTTTGGTGCTAAGCAAGTACTGCAGAGTTGGGTGGGTTTCGAAGTTTCTGCAGCAAAAACAGCATTATGAAAGGGTTGGACTCAAGTGTTAAACCATGAAACTTGTTCTCTAATTTTATCAACATTATCAGAAATCCTGGGACATAACAAGGAAACAGGGAACAAAAAATGAAAGAGTTACCTCTGGAGACTCTTGCGTGCTATCCTCATGTTCTGAGATCTGTCTGCGTGTTATGAAAACATGCGCCGCATCCGTATTACTGTTATGTCTTCGTTGAACTTCCAAATTGCCGTCTCTGTTCAGGGGGAGACAGACACTTAGATTCTCACTAATGAAATGCATCAAAAGGGTTTTTTAAATTAATTTTTTTATAGGATATGGGAGCCATCTTACTGCGTGGTGGGCCGTTGCCATTGTGTGGTTCTGGTTTCATGATTAACATAGTAGATCCTTCCCAGATTATCTTGCCTCTCCTCCCAGCCAGGAGGAAGAGGAGGCAGGATCTGGTTTTGTCTGGGACCTGACATATCATGTGTCTCCAGAAGCTCCCAACCAGGCTGTTAAACAAGGAGGACATCATTTTGAAATGCTAAAGAACTAAACTAAGCTGTACATATGGAAAACTGGAGATAAAAAAAAAAAGTCTCACCTTACTGGAAAATAAAATTAAACGGCCATTTTCACAGAGCTTTTTCACATTTACAAACACAGCTACTGATATTAATATGTACAAGTTACTATATACAAAGTTCAGTGCAAATAACTTTGTGTGTACTAAACTTTATCTGGTACCTTACTAT